ATAAGAGGCCAATAAGACCTGAGAGAAAAAACTTGCTAACCACTGTTATTCTCTGGAGACTCTGAAAAACACCTCTGTCCAAAAGGGTTGTGGGGGCTAAGTAAGGATATTGCATGACTAAGAGCCCCAGCCCTCATGATCTATTATCTCATATGTTCTATTAATTAAATTAATAATGTGTTTTTACGCAGATTGCTTCTGAAAATATATTCTCCCTTTAACATCTTTTGTATTTCAGATTTTAGGTAAGATTTTTTTAGGGTTTAATATAGCTCACCTTTAAACCTGGAAAAAAAAATGTAAGAGGATGCCTCTTCTTGAAACATTGCACATGCAATATTAGGTGTAAAAGCCATCTTTGGAGTCATGCTGGATATGTTTCTATCAGGTACTACAAGCAGTGTGGTTATGATAAGAATCTGTCATGTTCATTGCTGCTACTCCTAGCTTTCTTCTTCTCTAAAGATGGTCAGGAGGACACTGATAATGAGTGATAGCAGCTCCTTGTCTGTTTTTTCTTTTTCTTTTTTCTGTATTGGGAATCCATTCTGCAGCTGGAAAAATAAACGCAAAGAACCTGTACAAAATACTTGATGCATTTTAGCAGAAATCTTGAATGCATCTGGCAAATGACCTGCCTACCAGGGCAGGTCAGGTGGAGCGTGACCAACCTAATGACTGTTGCCCTATGAATCACAATGAACAGAAACAAGTATTTCACACATGTTCTAAGAACTGGAAAACTTGCCTAGAAGTAGTGGTTCACAAGACATCACAGCATTCCTGGCCATCTGTCTCATCTTGAGAATTGGCACCAATAATATATAATGTCTTTGCTACTTGCAATCCCCGGTTTCAAAAGGTTGATGGCATAAGTCTTTTCCTTGACAGATTTAGTGATTGCTGAAATTAGAGAGAGGGGTGAAATGACTCAAGGTCACTGAGCAGGTCTGTGTTGGAGCCAGGTAGAGGACTCCTCCTTGCATTCCAGGGCTGGCTGCTGACCCTGGCACTCCGCAGCGGCTCTGTGCTGTGGTACATTTAATCAGCCTCACTCTGTGTCATAATTCACTGTCTGTGGTGTTATGGATATCTAAAGGGTAGGATTTTAACTTAGCAATCTGCTGTGTTATTGAATTAGTTTTATGTTGTGTTAATTTCTTTGTCTCATGGCATTCATTGCCTGTGATAATTGATGCACAATATATAACCAAGTTCTATGTTCATTTGGGTAAGTGCATTTAATTGCCTGGTATAAAATATGGGTGCTAAGTGCAATCTGCTATGACTGAGAATTGCTCATTGGTATGGACTTGAGGGTGCTTTATCTTCCTGACAACCAGTTTGAGGAACGTCTAAGTGTCTTCCACAAACCACCATCCAAGGATCGCTACTTGCATTGTGTCTAGAAAGAGAATAACAAAAAAAAAAAAAAAAAAAAAAAAAAGACATTGCACATTTTCTCCTGTTAATTAGGATTATGGCTTCATACGTTCATGGAGTTACTCTTCTAGAGTAATAGAGTAAAGCTACTCCCATGTGAAAGTGTTTATGAACACTGATTTCTTTTACATATAACTTCAGGTCATTAATTCTTAGAGAATTTCTACTCAATTATAAATCAGTACTACTTTCTAAAGGTGAGATACCAGTGAGATGGTGTTGATTTTGCATCTGCTCAGAATCCCTGCATATGCTTATACTTTCTTGCCTATTTTAACTGATTCCTGTTATTTTTAAGGGAATAAGAACCTTTATTGGTAGGTGCTTTTCTCATCATACACATCACTTTGCTTTTTTGTGGCTTAGACAGTGAAGATACTGTGGATTTATTTGTTTCTCTGTCTTGTTTCATTTCCAATGATCATGGAGAATATTAATAGTGCAGTATCTAAGTTATACAAGGAAACACTGAAATTTGCCCAAAGCAGATTTTATTCAGGACATTAACAAAGCCTGTCCTCTCTTTCTATATTGGAATATTTGAAAGTTTTGAAACAAAAGATAATGGTTAATTCTAAATAAGGCATGAAGAACCTACGAGATTATTTTTAGCCATATAATGTTGTTCTGTGCAAATGTAATCTGTGAGTTGTCAGCAGAAGGGATCTTTGCAATTAGTATCTTCTCTTGTACAAGAGCTAGCTTCTACAGCCCATGTCCTCTAGGATGTAGCATTAGTTCTGCCTACGGCTTGTTGCAAATTATTCAGTGTTCATAGTGCATTTATGCCTGTTATTTAACTCTATCCCACTGACAGAATAGTCTGCAGCAGTTCGTGGTTAGATAGGACTAGTTCCACTTTTGGCTCCTTGTGTGCAGTTTTCCCCTGGTTCAAGCTGCCTTTCGTCTATTTTTTTCTGATAAGGGTGTAGACCTGATGGCCAGAGAGAAAGCAAGACTGCCTAGAGACACTGTGGTTTATGAGAGGATGTTTAGAGCTAAAACGTCCATGGCACAACTGGGCAAAACTGGTGGCATAGTGTAGTATGGCAGTCTCTAATTAACTCAGGGACTCTGCTTTATTTCATATTCATAGCATCATATGATTCCCCCTCTGCAAAGATTTTAACAAATACGTGCAGCTAATTTATGAAAATCTAAACAAATTTCAACATTTGTTTCAAAAAAGGTGGGCTTTTTTAATTGTTTGTTTATTAAGAAGTTTGCTTCAGAATTTGTTTGCCTGGTAGGAGGCAAATGCAAAAGAAATCATATATTATTTTCCAATACACTGAGGCGTGTTCATTTGACCCAAGGTCTGATTCTTTATGGACCAGTTGCCATTTTTGGCAATGTGGATTTGCAGGGGAAGTAGAAGAGTCTGGTGACAGATCTCCTTATGTCACTCAGCACACACTTCACAAAGCAGTAAAATGGGATGAAGAGGTGATGGCAGAGAGAGTTCAACACAAATTTCATGCCTCTTAGCCCAGTAATCCGTGCTTGCTTGAGATGCTTTTGCAGGTCATTCTCTGAAACCATGTGGCAGCACCTCCTTCCTCCTAAGTAGGCAGGGTACTACGCCCTGAGGTTAAGCAACTAGCACACATATATGTATGAAGAGGCATTTCATCAATGCTGGACTTAGCTGCTGCCAGGAGCAGCCCTCTCTCTTACTATTAACAAGGCAACAAGGCTGCTGTTCATAAGAAAGGCCATGGGGCACATGGAGCCATGCCAGAGACCGGGTCTGCTCCATGGGTGAACCACTCTCATCTGAGATTTGAGCGCGTACTTGTAAATCAGCATTGATTTTGGAATGACTCCTAAAGAGGAAAGGGGCTGTACTGACTGTGAAACAACGTATTGACAAGGAATAATTCAGCCAGCGCTAACCTTGAAATGGATGTTTGTGGTCAGAAGTTTATAGCCTGAGTGAAAAGAGCTAAGTATGAATTCAAGGAGCTGAACAGGAGACACCAAATTTTTAAAATTTTGACATAAATCTCTTGATTGATCTAAGTCACATTCCCTGCTGAGGATTATCAGTTTTTTTTCGGTGTTAATAGATGTTATTTAAAAATTAATTTTATCATAAAATTATTTTATGTGCAATGAGCAGTGGAGATCAAATAAGAATTCGAAATGTGAATTCAAATACAAAGAGTTGATAAATATTGACTTTTAAATAGACCTACTGTAGTTTTGAACCAAATGCTTTTTAGCCTAGCATTCAATTATTTGTAAATTGCTACATACTAAAAAATATGCAGCACTGTCTGACCCAGCCACTTTCTTCACTTTTACAGCTATTAAGGTGATCATGTTCCCATGAAGTGATCTGTGCAGTGTCAGGGAGCTATAATTCAAACCTGTCTAGCTTGTACTTTATGCATATCGTATGAAAAAAGAAAAACGTGGGAGGAACTGAGCTAAAATATGGTATAATCACTTTAATTGTTTCATTTCTAAAGATGATTTTTTAGGATTTGCATACTGGAAACCTCGTAATTAAGGTCTTTCAAGTTCTTTTTCAGAAGATAGTCATCATAATTGTCTGAGGCTGAACAAGTCACCAACGTGTACCTGTCAAATATTAATGACTCCTCTACCCCTTATATTTGGAAGCAGTCAGTCAATTGGGATAACTATCTACTAGTACCAAAGACTGGTAGATTAGATCCTTCAAGGTGCTGTCCAACCAAAAATATAATTGTTCCATTTGCCATGAGCTATATAACCAGCACACAAAGATCTAGCATGGATGTATCTATGTGCTCATCTTAATCTTGGTATTTTCTCTGACTGCTGTGAGTGCTGTCATCTCATAGCCTTTGGTCACACCTCTGTTTGCTTATTCAACCTCTTTTTACTGTCAGCAGTGCACTGACACAGTGAGATTCACCACCAACAGCAGCAGCAGAAAGGCAAAGTTATGTAAAATTCATGGTCTGACAGAGACCTGATGAAAGCAACACATTTTAGCGAGAAGCAGATGCTCCACCTTTGCATCGAATTAACTAACCTTCGTGAGCCTAGGATACAAAGCAAGTTAACAACCAGGCATCATCCTCAGTTTTGTTGACTGGAGTTGCCTTTCCACATCTCTGCACATTCCCTTCTGAAAGTCATTACAAGTTTTTTTTTTTTGTTGTTGTTTTTTTTTTTTTTTCCTTTCATCTTGCAATAGGAGACTATTTCCTTGAAACTAGCAACATCAGTTAATTGTTAACAGTTAAAAAAAATCACATTTATCCCTAAATACATTCTTTCAGCCAATGCCTTCATGCTGAGAGGACTGTGTAGGTACTGATAAGACCTAATTTGTGAAGGCCTTTTCAGCCCGAGGCAAGCGGCCTGACAGGTTCATACGTGGCATTGTTTGTTTAGCAAGCAAGAATGAGCATTTGCTGAAACTCCTCTACAACCGTGTCTAACTGTGTGTAACGAGGCTGGAACTGGCAATGCAGCAAGAGCAGATCCCAAAGCAGCCTGTTGTTTTGAAGCTATGCTCTGAGCGTGACACTTGATAGCTGATTTCTTCTGTTCTCTTTCAGAGCCTAATGAGCTGTGGGTGCTCCCTGCATTTGATGACATCCCATCTCAAGATGCTGCTAAGACAGTAGTTAATTATTCCTGGTTGAAGAAGTCTAACAGGAGCAAAAGGAACTAGTGAAAAAAGAAAAACAATGGCTGCAGGTAAATACCTCAGGTCTTCAATGGGTCTAAACAAATGTATGGAAGGAACTGATCTGAGCAGTGGATGAGAGATGCAGATATGTGGTGAAGCCTTGGGTTTGCAGTTTGGGATCAGAGGGGTACAATCCCCTCAGTTCTTAGATATCAGTTTCTCTCCCCCACGGAAGAAAATTCCTACCTGAATTCAGTTAGTTTTGGTGATGGTAATGATAATTGACTTCCATTTTTCAAACAAAACTTGGGAGATCATATGGCTTGGCCTCTGCTTAGGTAGCAGCAATCATAAAAAAAAAGGAAAAAAAAGGAAAAAAGCGTCTCTCATAAAACAGGTCTTTTTTTGAGTTCTCACAACTTTCTGTCAATTTGTGTCTGGTTATATATATAATTAAATTAAACTATAGGATCTGTCAATTTGTGTCTGGTTATATATATAATTAAATTAAACTATAGGATCACATAATAATTTATTCAGATTGGGGACCCCAGGAGGTCTCTAGTCCTGCCTCATGCTCCAAGCAAGGCTAACCATGTGGTCAGACCAGGTTGCTCAGGGCTTTATCCAAGGGCTTTATCTTGAAAGGATGGTGACTGCCCAACCTGTTCCACTGGTTGACTGTCCTCAAGGATAAAAAGTTTTTCCCTGTATCCATTCTGAAGCACTCTTGTTTCAATTAATGCCTGTTAAATGTTCTCAATATTCTTATGATTTTCTGTACAATACCAGATACTATCATCAGTGGTAAACAACAAAATAAACCCCAAAGATGCAGTGGTCTTGGTATCTCAAAAACTTCTATAAAGGTTTTGGTTAAAAAACTTGTCATATTAGCTTTTTTATTTATAATGTGTTTCTTCCTCTACAGCAGCTGATGGTTTGGGAAGTATAGCTATAGATACCACACAACTTAACATGTCAGTCACTGATCCAACGGCTTGGGCTACAGCTATGAATAATCTAGGGATGGTTCCAGTAGGATTAGCTGGACAACAGCTTGTGACAGGTAAGATTTTTCTTTTTTTAAGAGAGATCAATGATAACAGTTCACGAATTCTTCAGGTCTTTTTTTTTTTCTTTTTTTCTCTTTTAAAGAAAATAACGTCTGGAATGATTTCTGAGAACATATGCTATCAAAACATCATCTGTGATTAATATGACATAATACGTATTAGCTGCTTCTTGTAGTAGGTATATAATCCATATTATATTTTAACCTTGTGGAAAAGCCAAAAATCTTTGGGGAAATTAGAGAGCTAAGCCATCAATTCTCATGCTCCGTCTAGGGGCCAGGCCACATAAGAGAGAAATATATAAAATTCTGATTCTCCATTCAAGCAGGATGGCTCGACGTTCTGCCAAAGAATACCATGGGCTAGGAACTCTTGATTGAAGAAAGATTCTGAAGTTATATTAAGTGGGGAAGGAAATATGAAGCCCACTTCATTCAATATTAGTGAAGTGAAGCTCCCTTGTCAGATGTATACTTATTTACTTTTTACTTGACTTTATACTTAGAATTTCAAGAGGCTTTTCTTGTTTGTTTTTATTTTGCTTATATTTCAGGGGAGCTTTGCTTGAGATCACTTTTTCTAATAAGAAAAATAATGTTTTGAATACAAGCTATATTTCACATACAATCCTGATTTAATTTGATTTCCGTGGGAACCATAGAGGCCTGATTAGTTGGGGTTAATTAGACTTTGTCACTCCTGTGTGATAGAGGAAGATTATTTTTATGTAGATGAGTGCCTCATGGAAACAAGCACTCTCCGTGCTACAAGCTGGACAGACATAAGATAGATCCCTTCTGAAAACTTTAGCTTTCAGAAGGTTTAGTTTTGGCATAGCCACTTCAGCTTAAGCAGAGCTATTCAACATCTGGATCAGAGCAGCTTCCTGTCACGTCTGTGCTCGTCTGTGTATACATGGACGCGGTGAGCCAGGTCACAATGTAAATCACTCAGCCTAATTCACTGGGGATTTGTGAATCTTAATTTTGGCCAAATACGTCCCCCCCTGATATTAGGAACAGAGTGGAGTTGTGCTGGTTCACACAAGCTAACGATTTGGCTCTGAGTTACACTGTAATTACACTGTAAAAAGTTGCCTGAAAATGAATCAGTCTGAGGATTTAACTGGGGCAGATGGTGAAGCAAATCTCAGTTTTCTGCTTTAACACCGTGCTCCTAATTACAAGAAACACGTATAGCTGTTGGCCTCTCCATCATGTCTTATATTGATGCTGCACTCTTGAGATGAACACTGGGTCTCTTACTCGAAGCCCATGTGGGCTGATCCATACATCCCATGGGAGAGCAATATATTGAACTGTGCCATATGCCTGGGATGCAGCAGGCTGCATCATAAGAGAGTCTTCTTTTGGTAGTGCTAGATGAATGTCTTTGGGCCTTGTTTGCCTCGTACACATGTGGAAAACAGCTTTTTCCCATTTTCTAGTATTAGCAAAACTTGGTGGGGTTCTGCCTGGGGATGTCAAGGACATTCCTGGAATTGGCAGCTCCCATGCCAAGCTGAGGAGTGGAGAAATCCAACCAAACAGTGAGCAGGATCCAATGAATTCAAGGCCCCTGTGAATGAAGTCACCAGAAGGGCATATTGACATCCTTTTTGTGTGTTTCAGTTGAATATAATTACCTCCAAACCTGAAAATGGCTTTCTGCCAAAACCAGCTTCTGCTTCTTTCATTTACAATCAATGCAGCTGCATATCCCATAGAGGATTTGCAGAATCTTTTGTCTACCCCATGTAGACATGTCTTCTCCCATGTCTCCAGTTTGCGTGTAAACTGTGTCCTCAGCTGTGCTTTGCAATCCCCATCAAGACAGTCTCTTCTCACGTGCAGAATCTTTCCCCACAAGGAAAGATCTCAAGGTTCATTGCCAGCTCCTTACTTTAATTTCCATAATTATATGTATCACGTCTTGTTGGAGTGTTGTTCAGGTCAGTTGGTATTTGTTCAGCATTTTCAATGTATGAAAGGTGCCATAAGTAATAAAAATTCATTATTGAAGTATTGCCTGATTTCTCTTCAGAAAAGAATAACTTCTTTTCCTTTGTTTGAAATGTTTTTTTCTGATTTTGCTTAAGGTAAATAGGTGCTTTGACATTTCATTGTATTCCCTTATGATTCGTAAGTTTTTGAGACATTTTCCTCATACAAAAACCATAATTTTGATCATAATTTACCATAGAAAGATTTATAGACTGATTTGCTGTGACCTATTTACTATGTCTACATTCAGTGACAGTTTCCATCACCATATTAGGCCAAGTACACAAACAGTCCTTTTCTGATCTTTTTTTTTTTCATTTTTTATATCAAACCTAGAAATGACATAAACTTCCTCAGCAGTCACCTATTACTTTTGTTGCTATCATCCATTACATTTCTCTAAAATGAAAAAAGGAGCACATGTGTCCAAATTCTAAATTTTATTTGACTTAAAAGAAATATTTTTGATCTTCTTTCTTTTTTTTTCTTCTATATGATGACAGCTGGGAAAGCAATAAGTAGCTTAGATGAATCTTGGACAGAGGCTGATCTTTCCTGGACATCTTTATATAACTTTATATAAGTCAGAAGCTTAGTGTGTGGTACTCATCCATAACTTGGCACATGGCTCAGTTCTGTGATCTTTCCATTTTCAAAAGACCTGTTCAGTCAAAGCCTTCCTTTCCCCTAAACTAGTTCTTCCTAATTCCTAAATTGCAGAGGAGGAGGATTGTCCCTTTAGCTACGATGCTGATGTGATCCACTAAGTGTGTTTAAAGGCTTTTGCTGCTTTATTTTCTTCAACTGATATTGACTTAGTTGCTCTGCGACATGCTGGGATGCCTGCTTCATAACAGAATTATGCCAGTCACTTTGCAATCTGTGATGTTCTTACCGAGCCTAAGAGTTTGTTAAAATGACAACCAAAGCTTCTGCAACATCTGGTTGATATTACTCTAATAGTCCAGGCTGTTGGCTGTCTGGTCTTGGTAACTAATCAATTTTAAGCACTGCTAACCTTTTAATACCAGATTAGATGCTATCTGTACTCTATTTAATTCCTTATCTCCTAGTGCTGTAAAATTGGATTTTTGATCTGGGCGAATGTCAGAGCCTTTCATTTGTTAGGATGGATTCTTGTTAATAGTTTTATAATATCTCTTCTGTTTCTATATATTCTCTGCTTTTGTTACTCAGAAAGCTTGTCTTTTCCCATAATATTTGGCTACTGCGTTACATATATGCTAATATATGCATTTATATATTATATATACATAATTCATACAATAAACTATAGTTTAATAATGCATTAGCTAAAGTGTTAAAGATTGATGTCACAGAGTTATTGCTAAAATTCATTTTCATTCTAAATCTCCTCTTTCAGCAGGTTATATTTTTTTTTCCAAAAAAAAAAAAATACCTTTGGGACTGAAATTTCTCATGCTTAGTATCTCACTTTCAGCCCAGAGGTAAATTTTTTTCTGGAAAGGTTTGAGGGAAAGAAAGAAAAAAGAACTTACTTTTAAATTACCCAGGCTTTAAAATTTCTGTTTTCCATACTGAGGCTTCGAAAAATATTCTCAGATGAGGGGGAAAGGATAGGTGGTCCTCCTATTTTGAGGTGCGAATGCCTTTGTGTACTCACCAGTTCTGATTTAAATACATCATAGTCTGCTCATTTGTTACATTTTAGGAAAAGCTGAAAAACTCAGTGACTGCAGGTGCAACAGCAAATGCTTTAGTTTGCTTTGACCTTGGCACTTTATTAAAGTAGTTTGGTCACTGCTGAACTTTTAGTTCTTATGCTCTCATTTGTTTCGGCAAATGGCATCAGGTCACCTGTCTTCTAGGGGAAGATAACCTGCCAGAAAAATACTTTACTTCTCTAGTTCAATTTTGTTCTTCTTCACTTCTGAGCACAAAGCACAAAGCACCCTGAAAAGCACAAAGAAATTCATATGATTTCCTTTAGAGCGATTTAGATGAATTAAGTATTAGTTAATCAAAGACGGTGTCTATCAAAAGTTCATTACAAATAAGCAGTAATAGTGGCACAGATGTGGTTATTCTTATAGATTTGGTTAAGCTTATTCCCTGCACTGCGTATTTGCACTCTTACAAGGAGAAAAAAAAAAAAAAAAAAAAAGCAACCCCCTACTACAGACATCCATGACAAGAGTTACACATTCTGCCAAGAAGCCAAGTATCTGCCTGAAAACTGGTAGTTTCTACTTATTGGAAAGATTAAGGCAACTTTTTCTATGCGAGCCTAAACATTTGGGCCTCTGCCACAACTATTGAAACTTTCAGTGAGCTCTGGTCTTGTTTTGGCTTAAATTGGGTTTTGACCATCTTTGTAAAATCCTAGTGAAATCATAGATTGGTGAGTTTTGAAGCCTAACATCCTACTTACTAAAAGATATAGGAAAATGCCATAGCATTTTTTGTGGTCTCAGGCACATGTTTTTTAGACACTGCAGGGTTGTGAAATATTAGACACTTACATCAACCTTTCTGGTTTTCTATTTGTCTTTTCTTTCCCCACACACTTGTCTTTTGACCTGATTTCAGTGCAACATAGGAACTGTCAGTTTCAATCAGAGCACCTCGCTTGGTGTTGCACTTTTGACAGTGTTGAGTATCAGATACTTCAAAGGAAGACGTAAAAGGCAAGTCAGCACTGAAATACTTCTCCCTCCAATGGACTCCCCTCTCTGTTGTTAATAGACACAGCAAGATTTCCCAAACTGCAAGTTATTTTTCCAAATCAAGTCATAACTCAGCAAAACCTCACTTTTGGAAGCAGCATCTGTGACAATAAGTAGTTGCAGTCCTGAAACTGTAACCCCAGAAGTAGTTTTTGATAACAGAAGAAATTGGGAAATTTCAATCTTGAGACTCTTAAATCCTGAAACACAAGGTTAAATATCCCTCAGATATTTTGTGAGCCCAAATCCTCCAAGAACCTAATATTTAGGTTATCTCTTGCT